GCTGACAATAAAAGTAATGTGTGTGTGTGTGCGTGTGTTCCCCTGTGCTGACAATAAAAGTAATGTGTGTGTGCGTGCCCTTAAAGCTTCAGTCCTACTTGTGTGCTGGAAGCTTCGGGACAGGTGACATGTGACCAGTGTCAGGTCGGATACACAGGAGTTAACTGCGAAAGGTGAGGACGAGCAATTTGATCCTGTGTCAAAGAGACCGGCCAGAAGTCAGTCTCAGACACGTGTGTCTGTGTATGCAGGTGTGCCACTGGTTACTATGGTAACCCACAAGTAGTGGGAGGAGTCTGTGTCCCGTGCGACTGCAACGGCAACGTGGATGTGAGTGAGTTCGGACATTGCGACGCAATCACGGGCGAGTGCCTCCTTTGCCTTGGCAACACAACCGGAAGACACTGTGAAATCTGCCAGCCTGGCTATTATGGAGATGCTATTCAGGCCAAAGACTGTCGAGGTGAGAGCGGAAACAAGCACCAGCTGATAGATAACATAAAAGTTCACACATATACAGTGGTGCATCATAGTACACAACTCCAGAAAAATAGAACTTACGGATTAGTCCCTCTGCAGAAACTGATCCCGCTGTAGAAATGTGTTCTACCAAGGCTATTTTGTTCACTTCAAGAGGTAGTACAGGAACTATGTTGATTTGTACTGCGGTAATTTGTACTGGAAAACAGAAAACATTGCTAGGAACTTGTATCCCTGCTAGGAACTTGTGTCCCTTATGAGTGTGGATGTGAGACCGAGATCGAGTTCAAGGACCTGTACCCCAAAATTGATGTTTATAAAATATAAAAAAATTATATTTTAAAAATAAATTAATTTGAATGTTTAAGCGATTTGAAAGAAGCACCAAAAAAAAAAAAATAATGATCAGTCGTTGAAGAATTAAAAATGCATGCTCAATAATGGCGAATCTATTTAAAAACTGCATTTTCCAGACTATAGGTTGCACCAGCCAAAAAAATGCAAAACAACATGTATAAGTCGCACCAGTTCCCTCTAGTGGCTCTGTGAAAAAACAGACATGTAAATTTTCAGTGGTACAGGAGTAGCAGATACTGGCACACAATCCTAGAGTGCCCTCTAGTGGATGCCAGTGTGAAAATAACGAACATGTAAATTTTCAGTGATTCACGGTAATAACATTCTTTTAACCTACGATAATTATCTCTTTCTCAGAGTGTGGGTGTGATGTCAGTGGTGCACTTTCCAGCCATTGCGATCTGACAACAGGAAAATGTTCATGTCGAGAGAAAGTGACAGGACGAGCTTGTGACACCTGCCTGGTGAGACACACACACGCGCACACACACACATGCATTTGAGCATAGATGCATGTTTAATTTTTTTTATTTTTCTTTTTCCTTCAGCCCGGTTTCTTTGGTTTGCAAAAAAGTGGAGGCTGCTCGGCCTGTAACTGCAGCCAGTCAGGATCCGTTTCCAAGACATGTGACGAGGACGGACGGTGTCAGTGTGTCGAGGGTGTGGGCGGAGACAGGTGTGACAGATGTAGTCGTGGGTATTATGGTTTCCACGGCAGCGGCTGCACAGGTAAATTCTTTGAATGTCGGTGTGGCATCTGATGGCTGAATCTTGACATCCGTAACTGACACTTTTTTTTTTTTTATTTCCCAGCATGCACATGCGAACACACCGGAGGAAACTGTGACCCGGAAAGTGGGGAATGTATTTGTCCGGCCCACACAGAAGGCGACAGGTGTGAAAGGTGTGAGACAGGTTACTGGGGTCACGACCTGATCCATGGCTGTGAGGTAAGAAATACATGAACATCATCTCACACACACACCACCTTATGACTTAGACACTAAATCCCTCTCTCTCTCTCGTTAGCCATGCAGCTGCAGCATCGCAGGAAGCTCTGGCCCAAATTGCAATGTCACAACTGGACAGTGTCAGTGCATACAAGGATTCTCTGGCAGGATATGTGATCAGTGTGCACCAGGTTACCATGGTTACCCAGCATGCTTGACATGTGGCTGTGATGTGGCGGGAACCGAAGAGCGCTTCTGCAATACAACACTGGGACTGTGTGACTGTAAACCCACGGGCGTGTGTGCATGCAAGGTGACGCACCCTGACTAACAGCACATGTCATTACTTGCATTACTAAGCAAAACGCATTCAAAATGTGACATATCATATAATATAATCACACAGAGTCAATCTTCAGTTATATAAAGTATGTCGCATGGTCTTCATTGTTCTGTGTTTAGCTTAAAAGATTTCACTGTCTGTATTTTTTTTCCTGACCCCTTTCTTTCCACTAAGAACTTTTTCAGAATTTTAACAGAACAGTGTAAAATTTAGCCCAGTAGGTGGCAGTCATGCAGCTTATTACTCGATGATAGATAGATGGATGGATGGATAGATAGACAGACAGACAGACAGATGGATGGATAGATAGACAAACAGATAGATAAATGGATAGATAGATAGATGGATAGATAGATAGATAGATGGATAGACAGACGACAGATAGATAGATAGACAGACAGACAGATGGATAGATAGACAGATAGATAGACAGACAGAGAGATGGATAGATGGATGGATGGATAGATAGATAGACAGACAGATAGATGGATAGACAGATAGATAGATAGACAGAGAGATAGACAGAGAGATAGATAGACAGACAGACAGATAGATGGATAGACAGACAACAGATAGATAGATGGATAGATAGATGGATAGATAGACGGATAGATAGATGGATGGCTAGATAGATAGACAGACGGATGGATGGCTGGATAGATAGATAGACAGACGGATGGATGGATAGATAGATAGACAGAGAGATAGACAGATAGATGGATAGATAGATAGATAGACAGACAGATAGATAGATGGATGATAGATGGATAGATAGACAGATAGATGGATGGATAGATAGAGAGATAGATAGATAGACGGATGGATAGATAGATAGATAGATAGACGGATGGATAGATAGATAGACAGATCATAACATCAAATAAAACGATCATGACTTTGGCCGGACACACATACTGTTTGTGAATGATTACAGTCTAAATACACAGATGGAAAAACTGGGAAAAAAAAGCATTTTTCAGGATCTTTTTTTTTTTTTTTTAACATTTAACAAATGCTAACTCTAACTTGTCACTATAGAGAACTACTGTCTACTATTGATGAATTACCTCAACTAACAATGGCTGCTGTATGTTTATCGCAGGTGGGTGTGACCAGCCTTCACTGTGATGAGTGCAAATCCGGCTGGTTTGGTTTGTCGACGGCAAATCCAAACGGCTGCTCTCAATGTTTCTGTTCGGGACTCAGCCGTGACTGCGAGGAGAAAGGAGGACTGAGGAGAGAACAGGTGAATAAACATAGGCACCGTACCTAGAGCTGTACATACAAAGGTCTGTACCGAACAGTTCCGCACAGGATATTTGGTACAAACTTCACATTTTTACATTTTAATGAGTGTAATTAGGGATGTCCAATAATATTGGCCGACCGATATTACCGTACCAATATAAGCATAATTATGTAATATCTGTAAGAATTGTTATTGTTTTTTCTTTGATGATGAAAACCAGATAAAGCATGAAAACCAGATAACACATGCCTGGGTTTCACGAAATGATATGTGCCCTAAAAATAGTTTTGGGGAAAAATGGCTGCATATGAAGGTGAAAGGAAAGGAAAAAGAAAGGAAAGCCACTAGATGGCGGCATTGCAGCTCATTTTACTAATCTATTTTAATAATCAGGGAATTGTTTGTAGAATGCTGGTGCCGGGAACTAATACAGTTGTTTGTACAGGTAAAAAAAAAAAAAATTACCAAGCCCTTAATAGTATTTCAATTTCGGTACCAGGCCCTTAATAGTATTTCAATTTCCGGGGAAGGGAGAGGGGCATATCGGATATCGGCAAAAAGTTAGTATCGGATAACTGTAATGATAATTTATTCTTTCTGAGCCAATTATGTGTTCGCCAGTGTCGAGAAGCTATTTCGCAAACACAGAGGGAACTTTAAACATCTCCATCTTTATAGGTCAGCCTTGGTCACTCTCCTGCCCTTCTCTCATTGGTAAGTCAGTCTAACCTGCGCGGTGTAGTGTCCGGAGTTTATCAGCAGAGTGGAGACATGCTTCTCGACACTCGCCAAGTGAACATGAGCACGCTGACGGGCCCCGTTTACTGGAAGCTTCCTCCGCAATTCGAAGGCGATCAGGTATGAACTCCAATAGCGCACTGTAACTACGAAAACATTCCGTCAGAGTGTGTAACGTGTGTGCGAATGACGTGTTGTGTCTCCACATACATGTAGCTCATGTCCTACGGGGGCCACCTGTCTTACAACGTGACCTTCTATGCTGAAGATGGTTCCGGATTGTCCAATCAGGAGCCTCAGGTGTTGATAAGAGGAGGAACCCTGAGAAAGCATGCCATATACACTGACATGGTCGCCCCACCGAACGGCGTTACGACTCAGCATTACATCAAAATGGCAGAGGTAGCCGCAGTGCATCATGGGTTATTATAAAAACAGAATGGGAACTCTTTTAAAGTTTAAAATGTATGTGCATTTTTTTGTTTTGTTTGTTTCTAGCACAAATGGAAGTATTTCAACTCCGTGTCGGAAAAGGCCGTTAGTCGTGATGACTTCATGTCTGTCCTCAGCAGCATCCAGTACATTATCATCAAGGCATCGTATGGAACAAAACTCCAACAAAGCAGGTAGGATGTCCAATATAACGTTTTGCTAATACCTGATATGCCGATCTTGTACAAACACTTATTTTCCGATTCCAAAATTAGCAATTTTCCCCCAAAACTCTAGAAGTCTCAGTAACCCACAAGTGATTGCAGGATATAAAAACCGATAACAATTAGGTTATCGGACATTACATAATTATGCTTATATTGACCAATAATATCATCCCTAGTTTGTGTTGTTTCGCTAAGAAACGTAAAGGTCAGTCTGCACTGTCTACACAATAATGTCCATAGTATTTAATATTATGAAAATGTATTTGTGTATGATAATATAATTGCCACAAACCTCAAAAGAATTACAAAAAAAAAATCAAAACAGTAAAGTGCATAGGCTAATGACTACTAATGCATGTGAAAATGATCTTGTCAATGTTTTAACACAGGGGTGTCAAACCCCTGGTCCATTTTTCACATTTGAGAAACAAACAACAACAAAATGAGAAATATTCTCATGTTTCTGAAATGTGCTAAACCTTGTTTAGAAAGTCCTTATTGGTCATTTTCTGTTACTTTTAAAAGTAAAATATATCTACATGTAAAAGTGGAATGTATCCATATTTTTTTCCATATATTACTCCTAATAAACACACAGAAAGGTCCTCTAGCTACCGCTGGTATAACCTTAGGGTTATTTATTATTTTGTAAATTATGTAAATTTTACTGCATCCATTCTACAACCTCTATTTGAACCATCGACAAATGCATGCATTTCTGTAAAACGCTGTTATTTCTCTATGCTGATGACTGTGTATTTTATAAACAGATGTGAAATGAGTCACTTATTAGCGACAATTAATGTAATTGATTGTATTTTTCATGTTAAGAATCTCCAACATTACAATGGAGACAGCTGTAGAGTCGGAGCCAGAGGAACTAGCCTATCGCATGAGGGACGCAGTCAGACTGATTGAGTCTTGCAGTTGTCCACCTGGGTACAGTGGACTGTCCTGTCAGGTAAATGATGACACTATCATAATGTTATGTTGTTTTCGTAATAAATAAATCGAATCGTTGTCCCCTGTTCCGCGTGAATGTTACTTAAAAATCGCTGTATTTTTTTTCTGTTTACAGGAGTGTGCGCCAGGTTACTTCCGTCAGTCTCAGTCAGAGTTGTCCTCTCAGAGTCGAAAATCCATGGTCGTTACGCCGTGTATCCCCTGTCAATGCAACAATCACAGCACGAGCTGTGACAAGGAATCTGGAGAGTGTCTGGTAAATCAAGCAAATACTAACGCAAACACATCGCAATAACTGCACTAATTTAAAACCAGCATGTAGCGACTCATGCTAGCTTACAGTAATATGTTGGAACTACCAACGCAAATACATGTGGTTACGATTTTCTTTTTTTTCCCCTCATGTGCTGTGCTAGCAGCTGGCACGTTTGTGGTGTTCCAGCCATTAGCTTGTTAGTAACATGTTTGTGGTGAGCAGACATGGGCAATTAGCTTGTTAGTAACATGTTTGTGGTGTGCTAGCACGTAGTGTGATTGAAGAGAATTAGTTAGCATTTTAGGCTTGGCCAGTGTGACCCTATTGCCACATCTGCTACACTAGAGTGGGTGAGCACAACCAAAGCCAAATACCTGTAGGACACCCCCACCCCCCACCCCCCTTCTACGGATGTTTTCCTGGAGCTTGTAAAGAAGCTACTTCTGTTGGAAACTAAAATCCACCAAGTTAGAGCAGACATGGGCAAAAGTTTTGACTCGCGGGCCACAATTGTTCTACGGTTGAACAGTGGGGCCGGGTCAGGAGCAGATAGATGGAGCGTTAGTGTGAACTAATATAAATGACATGTAAAAGTCATGTATAAAGGCTAAATTGCTAAAATGTTTTTAGCATTTTTCTACACCATCTATTGGTGAAACGTGGGTATTGCAGGGAAAAGGCAGAAGTATAATGATAATATTTATTAGTATATAAATGATATAATTTGGAAAAGTTTGACAGGCCAAATTTAAAAGTTGAACGGGCCGCATCCGGCCCCCAGGCCTTAGTTTGTCCATGTCTGGGTTAGAGATTGGAGTTGAGGTCAACGGACTTTGTGGAAATGACATTACATTACATCTCATGCAAAAAAAAAAAACAGGCAAGACAACACTAAAACACCACTTCTTACAATTAACATTACTAGAAAAAAAACTTGGACAATTTCTCATCATCATTAAGAAGGGTCACATGGGAGGCTAAATCCAAAGTTGAATGGATGATTGTGGCCACTATAAAGGATGGAAGAGGCATGTAGCGTCAGAACAGAGCTGCCCTTGCAGCTGACACACACACCGTTTTGCTTTAGCTAAGACTGGCTAAAGTATAAACCAATCAGCAACAACACCTCTTGTGATTTTTTTTTTTTTTTTTTTTTTTAGGACTGCCAGCACCATACCAGTGGGCATCGATGTGAGTCGTGCGCTCTGGGGTATTACGGAAAAGTCAGAGGGTCCATCAGTGACTGCTCACTCTGTGGATGTCCACTCCGCGACAATAGGTAAAGTAACATTTTTTCCCTAATTTGTTCATAAGTTATTAAAACGAAACATTTGTAACTAATGCTACTGCATATGTCTGCGTGAAGTTTCAGTTCCACGTGTGTGTTGGATGGAGCTTTTGGGGACTATCGCTGCACCGCATGTCAAAGGGGATATGAGGGCAGATACTGTGAGAGGTAACACATTTGAATTTCAACAACTTAGTAGTGAAGGCAGTATCGATCCCGTGGTATTGATATATAGAGTATTGATTACTCTCATAAAGGATTAATATAAATCAATGTATGCCAAAAGTACACGTGTCACTTTCACATCTTTTAGGGCAGGGGTGCCCAAGAAGTAGATCGGGATCTACCAGCAGATCTCAAAGGCATTTAAAGAAACAAAAATAAATAAATAATAATAGATTTAATTCTATTTTAAGATGCTAATCACTAGGGCTAAAGAAAGGAGCGTAGAAGTATCGAGTAAGACAGTGTTGTACCATACAACTACAGCCATTTAATCAAAGTAGTAAATATATATTTATAGTTTCCAATGTAGGTAGATCACTTTACCCTGGTCATTTGAAAAGTAGCTCCCGAGCCGAAAAAGTGTGGACACCCCTGTTTTAGGGGAACTTACATACAGGGTTTTGTGCTACAACAGTTAACCCCCGGTAATGTAAAATTGAACTGAGCCATTCATATCACAAGTCACGTTTGTCTCTTTGGACATCACAATTTCTTAATCTATTTTTATATATATTTAGTTTAATTTTTTTAAAGTCCAACTGAGGCATATCACAAGTCTTTAAATTTTGTTATCACAAGTGAGGAAAGTGTGCTGAGAAGATGGAAGGAGCGCTTTGAGGAGTTGTTGAATGAGGGAAATGAAAGGGAAAGTAGAAACGAGAGGAGTCGGGGAGTGCAACTTTGGGAACCTCTGTGTAAAGGTCTTAAATGGCTGGTATTTATTACGTGCTTTATTGGGTAAAAACAAATTACACAAAGTATTGATAGTTTTTTTTTTTTTTAAAAAAAAGCCAAAAATGTAATTGGTATCTTATCAAATACTGGAAACATTTTAGTATCCCCCATCACTACAACCTAGCTCATCCATCCATTCGCGGGCCACATCAATCCATCCATCCATCTATCTATCCATCCATCTATCCATCCATCTATCCATCCATCCATCCATCCATCCATCTATCCATCTATCTATCCATCCATCCATCTATCCATCCATCTATCTATCCATCTATCCATCCATCTATCCATCCATCTATCCATCCATCTATCCATCCATCTATCTATCCATCCATCTATCCATCCATCTATCTATCCATCCATCTATCCATCCATTTATCCATACATCTATCTATCCATCCATCTATCCATCCATTTATCCATCCATCCATCCATCCATCCATCTATCATCCTCCACTTATCCGGGGCCGTTTTGCGAGGGTAACAGTTAGAGCAGGGATGCCCAGACTTCTCTCCCCCCCAGACACTTCTTCCAAAGGGATCCCGAGGCGTTCCCAGGCCAGCCGAGCGACGTAGTTGCTCCAGCGTGTCCTGGGTCTTCCTCTGGGTCTCCTCTCAGTGGGACATGACCCGAAGCACCTCGCGAGGGAGGCGTCTGGAGGGCATATGATCTAAATGCCCAAGCCTTTTGGGAACCTTAAATTGAACACGGTCGCCGGGTCAGGAGCAGATAGATGGAGTGTTTGTGTGAATTAAGATAATTGACATGTAAAAGTCATGCATAAAGGCTAAAATTCTTTTCAAATTTACTACGCAATCTATTGGGGGAAATGTGGGTATTGCAGAGAAAAGGCAGAAGTCTAATGATAATATAGATCAATTATATAATTTGGAAACGTTTGGCCGGATTACAAAGCTGAATGGGCCGCAGTTTGCCCATGCCTGACCTGGCCTCCGTTGTATGTGACAACTTGTTGATTGTATGCCGCCCCCCGCAGGTGTTCTTTGGGTTACTACGGTAATCCCTCAAAGCCTGGTGGACAGTGTTTCCCGTGTTCCTGCAGTGAGTGGGGCTCTGTCCAGCCACTATGTGACCAGCTGAGTGGACAGTGTGAGTGTAAAGCTGGGGTCAAGGGCCAGTTATGCGAACACTGTGATGAGAGACACGTCCTGGAGGAAGGAGAGTGTGTGTGTAAGTAATAAAACACAATAAAAAAAAACACACACAAACAAACACTCACAGTTTGCTTGTTCACTCATTTCGGTCCATGTCTCTTTTATCAGCGTGTAACGATGCGTGCACCGGTCTACTGCTGGATGATCTTGACAAACTACACAACATCTTTTTAACTGTGAATGTAAGTGCCATTGTCATGGCACCATATGGCCAGATGGTGGCTTTGGAAAACCAGACCAGAGGACTGCAGGTACACATTTTTTCCTAGTTTCTACTCCGACGACCCGAAATGAAGTAAACTATCTATTGCTTAACATACACGTTTGTTCAGGTCGCGTTATCACAGAACAACTCAGTGGCATCGTATGTATCCGGAGAAAAAGATCGTGTTGATCGTATGACCTCTGACCTCAGCAAATTACTGAAGCAGGTACAGTGGCTTATTATGTTAAAACCGGTGCGGGTCCGTCCGTGTGCGCATCTTTCATCCGCCTGTTCTTGTCAGGTGACGCATCTGTCTGACCGTCGGGAGGAAGTAGAGCTGTCCGCAAACACCAGTCTCTCCCAGGGTGCATTGCTGCTGACAGACATCACCAGACTTCAGAAAAACATTCAGGGTAGAGTGACGGGATTTTCTTGACGCCACACAACAGATGCCAGTTTTAGCAAAATATAATGTTTTTTTTTTGTTTTTTTTTTTTCCCCTCATCGGTTCAGTTCTGCAGATGGAGATGGAACATCTGAATCAAACCAAGGGGGAGATCCATACGTCCAAACAGAGACATATGTTGGAGGAGCTGGAGGTTTTGTTGGAAACAATGAGCGATGTCAACTTAACAGTTGGCAATGCGCTAGCTGGTCAGGAGCTAATGTAGGTTTTGCCATGTCATGCGCTAGCTGGTCAGGAGCTAATGTAAGTTTTGCCATGTCAAGATGGGGATTTTTTTTTTTTTTTTTTAAATCAATTAACAAATAATACTTGTCTTGTCCTTTGAAGGCTAGCTGAATCCCTCCTTCACCTACTGGAGTCGGATTTCGTGTCTGTCAGAGAAGCATTTGACACCAAGCTCCTTGCTTTGTCCCGCATGCTCGCCACCAACACAGAGAGGCTGAACAACGTGTATTCACTCCTCAATAACGCTGCACAAAACAACACGCAAACACACGATGTCCTCGAACGAATGCACGCGCTGCTGCAAGATTATGAGGTAAACGCGCGCATCCACGCAAAAACATACATACAAGTTACCCAGGGGGCGCATTCTCACGGTGATATTGATGTCTGTCAGCCCCTCTGTCAGAACCTGAACGGGACATACATCTCCGTGGACACCCTGGTAGAGGACAGTCAACTTTTGCTGAACGATGCCGTTAGCCTTATTGAGGATTTGACGAAGAGCAACACGGTGAGACGAATGTGACAGCGATAAAAAAAAACCAAACACATGCAACAACAGCGAACAAACACTAACTCGCATGTGCAGCAGGTGGAGCTGTTGAGCACGGACTTGGACCAGTGGCGTCCCCTGCTGAGAAAAAAGGTTGACGGTCTCGTAATTGGACTCAAGGAAACAGACGGCCTAGAAAACATTTATCGCGCTGAGAGCCATGCCCACATGCTCGAGAACCAAGTTTACGCCATGCGCAGGTAGCTATAGCTATACTTTCAGTTACTCTGTTTTATAAAAAACAAAACAAAAAACAAAAAAAACGTGTTGTTGTTGTTGACCCGACAACTGAGATCCAATATTTTGTTTGGAATTACGACAAGTGTATGCGTCTCTTTCTAATGTCAACCTTTTCTACCCTTGTCTACTGCTCTCCCTAGCTCTCTGTCTGCGGTTTTTAACTTGTCTCGAAATGGCAGTCAATTGGTCCAGCTCGGAGGTGACGTCTCACAGCAAGTTGACGCCGCTGAACAGGAGGCGTCATCCGCCCTCACCTCTGCCTCCGTTGCTCTGAACGTGGTAGTTACATCCATTACATCTATTGTAGCTAGAAATAATTCAGCTGTCCACACACTCACACACTGATTCTCTCTTTTGTGTATCAGACTGCCCAAACTAAACAGCTGCTCTCAGGGAACGGCGAAGAGGAGGACAGAAGTGGCAGTATTTTACTAGCAAGTCAACAAATGGTCAAGGCAGCTGAAGGTCTGATGCTTGTTTTGTTAGTTAATCTGTTGAGAAACCTGTACATTTAGTAACTATTTAACCGAGATCAACGTATTATTAGGTGTACCGTAATTTCCGGACTATTGAGCACACCTGAATATAAGCCTCACCCACTAAAATAATTAAAAAGAAAAATACAATATCTCTTCTCTATAAGCCGCAGGAATACCCGTTGTAACATGGGATATTTACAAAGAAAGATTTTTTTTTTTCAGTTTTAGTTAAATAAATGCCTTTTTCCGAACTCTGCCTGTTACACGTTAGCTCTTTCCTGCTTCGGTGCCCTGACTGTAGTTGGAATGCACAGGGGAGACTTAGTGATCTGCTCCAGAGCTGAAGCTAACATTAGCTCTGGGGCTAACTCCCTTCACTTTGTGCTTTGTCCAGAAACAGTGAAGTTGGGATCTTTATTATCAGCCACTCCGACCACAACAGAACATAAACAGCTTCTGTATAACCAACTCACTCTTCAACATGACAGAGCTCAAACTGCTCTCAACTCTCGCTACCGTTCTCTCGCACGCGCTGTTTTCACATATACGCACACAGCCAATCACTGACAGACACACACTACTAATACAACACATAGTAACCTACCAGAAAAGTCACTGATCGCTAGCGGTATAAACTTTGTTAGCCCGTAAAAATCCATAAATTAGCCGCATCATTGTTTAAGCCGCAGGGTTCAAAGTGTGTGAAAAAGGTAACGGCTTATAGACCGGAAATTACGGTAATTATTAGTAACCGAAGTAGCAGTATTTGCAAATGAAAATACTATAACAATAACAATGTTTTTATTGTTGTTATATACTAATATATGTCTCCCTCTAGACATGCACTCAAAAGTCTCTAATGGAACCAGCAGACTCCAAATGCTCCGAGAGGATGTCGGGAAAACAAGTCTACACCTTCAAAAGCCAATGAAAGAGCTGCTAAGTATCAATGGTGTGTTTCCGGCTCTAATCTAAAAACTGTAGTATGTGTAAATGATGGGACACTACGAGACAGCTCACAAAAAAGTATCAGTGAAAAAATAGCGCAAGTCAACAAAATACATGTCATTGTGACACAGCACACCACTGCACACAATCAAACGCGACCTCTGCTTTTAACCCATCACCAAAGTGAACAGCGGGTGGGGACAGTGCCATGATCGGAGCGCCTCAGTGGTAACCTCCGCAGCTTGTGGATTTAAACCTGAAACTTCATGGACCCAAATCCGCTTCCTTATCACCAAGTCAATAATGCCCCTACAATAGGACACTGGGTCGCCCCAAAGATGATTTGAAGCATAGGATGTAGCATGGTTAGCTTGGCCCTGCCTTTGTAAATACTGACTCCTAAATAAACCTATTACTGTACGTATTAGCAAAGCACTATCCAACCACAAGCTAGGGCCATGCTAACATGTCGCTAAGATAGTATGTTCTGGTGTGCTGCTAGGACACATCTAAATTGCTATGTGCTTTTGTGCCACTTTAAAAAAAATCACTAACAAGTTGAATTTGCGGCATATTACTCTTTTATTGTAAACTTTATTTTTTTTTTATTGTTGACAAATTGTTCTGTTTATTTGCTTCAGGTTCCTCGTGGACATTGTCCCAGGCTGTATCTCAGGCAACAAGTGCACAGTCCGGCATGCAGGATGTGCTGCAACGCCTACAAGGATTCAGGGATAAGCTTCAGATTTCTTCCTCCACGGTGGAAAACGCCGCTGACGCAGTGAGAGACACCAACAAGATAATGACACAGACACATACCGCGGGTAGGAAAAAAAAAAAACACTCAAGGCTGCTGATCAGTAACTCGCTTACTCGTAACTCCAAATTCATTCATTCATTAACAAGTGTTTTTTTTTTTAGCCAATGAGGTGAAGAGCAAGCTGGAGGAGGCGGAGCATCGCACGGAGCATCTCATGAAGCAGATCAAGCCGTTGAGCATGATGGGAGAAAAACTAAGCCGCAACCTGTCGGACATCAGAGAGCTCATTGACCAGGCTCGAAAACAGGCAGCATCGGTAGAGACACAAGACAATGAACTTGGTCGTGTGATATATCCATGGTGATAAAGCTTTTGATGATGATGATGTTGATGCTGTCCTCAGATAAAGGTGGCGATGCAGGCGGACAAAGACTGCGTTCGATCGTACAGACCACAGATCGAGTCAAGTAACGTCAACAGTCTGAGTCTGATTCTGAAAACTACAAGTAGAGAAAACCTGCTGTTCTACCTGGGCAGGAACAGCACGGTACTGCACCTTTTTTTTTTTTTTTTATACACACTACACACGATACGTGCAGTAAAAGTACAAAACACGTACAGTACATGATCATCAATGCCCCACATGGAATTGTCATAAATGTAACTGCATGTTCTTTCTTCTATCTGTTAATTTACTCAGGGGGACTATTTGGCAGCAGAGATGCATGATGGGAAAGTGTCTGTGTTGTGGGATCTGGGTTCAGGCAGTAGCAGAGTTGAGTTCCCCGGTCTGGACATTGCAAACAACAAGTGGACAAGGATAAATGCCACACGGTAACGACACGCAGTCAATCACTGTTTGGAGACGCTGTCTGTCAGACGAGTGATGTCAGAGCGATGTCATCACGCGACATACTCATGCCGTTGCGTTCACTGTGTTGGCAGCTACGGCGTCAAGGTTTCGCTGTCTGTACATCAGCTGGAGTCAAAGACGCCGCCTCTCCCCGCAGTGACAGGCACATCACCCGGAACATCTCAGACTTTGGACATGGACAGAGACTCAGTGATCTACGTTGGGGGGCTGGGGACTCGCAATCAGGTGACGCATATATATACTGTACATCTTGTGGACACCTGCATGTAACGAAGGGACTGCACCTAAACGTGTTAATGTGTGATGCTGTGGGGGGGCAGTGGTGGCTTAGTGGTTACGGAAGCAGACTTGGGTCTGGAAGGTTTCAGGTTCGAGTCCATCGGCTGCCAAGTTACCACTGAGGTGCATGGCACTGTCCCCATACACTGCTCCCGGGTGCTTTAAGCTGCCCGCTACCACTGAGGTGCTCTGAGCACACTGCGTTAAAATCACTTTCACTTTCACTTTCACTTTCACTTTCACTTTCACTTTCACTTTCACTTTCACTTTCACTTTCACTTTCAACATCAGGGAGTCGCGGGCCTGAGGTCAACTACATTCCAGGGCTGTCTGGGAGAGGTTTCCCTCAATGAGAAGAACATTGGGCTTTGGAACTATGACAGCAGGGAGGGGAAGTGTGGAGGCTGCTTTAGCAGGTACATACTCTTTAAGGAACTTTAAGAACAAACTTTAAGAACAAACCTTGTAGCAGCAGTGGCCGCCCGACACGAGCCAGTCTTAAACTGTCCCCCCGTGTTTCTGACCAGTCCACAGATGGAGGAAACGGCCTTTCACTTTGATGGATCCGGATACTCGGTGGTCCATAAGTCCCTGCGTGCGACTTCTACGTCCATTGTGCTGCTGTTTAAAACTCTGTCACCCGGCGGCTTGCTGTTGTACCTCGCTTCGAACAACACCGTAAGACGTGCACACAATGTGTTGGTTTGAAGTTGTCTGTGGAGGAAATACAAAACTTACTCTACTCCCTTTCTCTCCAGAGAGACTTCCTGTCCATTGAGCTTGTGGAGGGACATGTCCGATTGAACTTTGACCTGGGTTCAGGTGTCCTGACCCTGACCTCGAACAGGAAATACAATAGAAACACGTGGTACAAAATCACACTGCAGAGGAATAAACGCAAAGGTATTGCGGCTACTTCAGAGATGGGAGTCCGTGTTTGAGCGTGTGGTTTCCTCATCGCCGTTTTACGGGTGTGTCCAGGGTACATGTCGATCATGGCTGCAGACCAGTCGTCAGAGAAGGAGGTATTGGAGGCGGAGTCTCCAGGAACGGCCTCAGACCTAAACCGATCCGACCTAGATCCCATCTACATAGGAGGACTTCCTGCGTCCAGGCCAGCCAGGTGAGTCCTGCTGGTGGTAATGTAGTGCTTGACAAATCTCGAGACAGTCTTGGTCTTGTCTCTGAATTGACCGCATTTTTACTAGTTCTTGTCTTGGCCTTGGTAGCACTTTAAAACCGCAAATTGGTGAAATTCCCAAATTAAAATAGAACCCAAAAAGTATTTTATTTTGAAAGTGTTGACGCTGCCCACTGGCTGCAACCGTATTGTTCTGTAGGAAACAGTTCAGCTCTTATTTTACATTGGTTGTGACCGCATTGACTGGTTACAACTTTTGAAAGCACCATTTAAAAAGATTTGGCCCAAGCTTTAAAAGCGTTTAATTCCCTAATAATAAAAATTCTATGTTGATGGGTTTCTTATCTGGATAAATTCATTTTATTTTATAACACAGAGCAATTTGCAACATTTTTAACTTAAATAAACAATAATGAATTGCAGCAACACGTTATTTAATAATACGTTATGGATCTATACGGTATTACAGTTACAACCCACCCTTTAAGGGAAACTGTATTGCTGATGTGGCCCTCTGATGAAAATAAGTTTGACACCAGTGCTTTGGAATCAACTGTTGGTTAGAGTGAAGACAAAATTACTGAGATGTGTATTATTCAATATTTACACATACCGTAATTTCCGGACTATAAACCAGTACTTTTTTGACACACATTGAACCCTGCAGCTCAAACAACGATGCAGCTAATTTATAGATTTTTTTACGGGCTAACGAAGTTACCGATTACCGATCGATGACTTTTCTGGTAGGCTACTAGTAGCGTATGTCTGTCTGTGAATGGCTGCGTGCGTATATGTGCGTCGGGTGCGCGAGCGAGAGAACGGTAGCGAAAGTTGAGAGCAGTTTGAGCCCCGTCATGTTGAAGAGTGAGTTGGTTATACAGGAGCTGTTTATGTTCTGTTGTGGTCGGAGTGGCTGATAATAAAGACCCCAACTTCACTGTTTCTGTTTACCTCTGCTGTGGACAAGTACAAAGTGAAGGGAGTTAGCCATGGAGGTAACGTTAGCTTTGGGTCTCGAGCAGATCCCTAAGTCTCCCCTGTGCATTCCAACTACAGTCAGGCGTAACCAGCCGTGTTACAGGCACCAAATAAAAATAGACCCCAAAAAAGTATTTTATTTTGAAAGTGTCGACGCTGCCCACTGGCTGTAACCGTATTGTTCTGTAGGAAACAGTTCAGCTCTTATTTTACATTGGTTGTGACCGCATTGACTGGTTACAACTTTTGAAAGCACCATTTAAAAAGATTTGGCCCAAGCTTTAAAAGCGTTTAATTCCCTAATAATAAAAATTCTATGTTGATGGGTTTCTTATCTGGATAAATTCATTTTATTTTATAACACAGAGCAATTTGCAACATTTTTAACTTAAATAAACAATAATGAATTGCAGCAACACGTTATTTAATAATACGTTATGGATCTATACGGTATTACAGTTACAACCCACCCTTTAAGGGAAACTGTATTGCTGATGTGGCCCTCTGATGAAAATAAGTTTGACACCAGTGCTTTGGAATCAACTGTTGGTTAGAGTGAAGACAAAATTACTGAGAGGCGTAGTATTCAATATTTACACATACCGTAATTTCCGGACTATAAACCACTACTTTTTTGACACACATTGAACCCCGCAGCTCAAACAATGATGCAGCTAATTTATAGATTTTTTACGGGCTAACGAAGTTACCGTTTACCGATTCTCCAAACCCAGACTCGAATTATGGTGCATAATTGTTTTTCAGGAGCTGGGCTTACTAGTAGCGTATGTCTGTCTGTGAATGGCTGCGTGCGTATATGTGCGTTGGGTGCGCGAGCGAGAGAACGGTAGCGAAAGTTGAGGGCAGTTTGAGTCCTGTCATGTTGAAGAGTGAGTTGGTTATACAGGAGCTGTTTATGTTCTGTTGTGGTCGGAGTGGCTGATAATAAAGACCCCAACTTCACTGTTTCTGTTTACCTCTGCTGTGGACAAGTACAAAGTGAAGGGAGTTAGCCCCGGAGCTAATGTTAGCTTCAACTGTGGTCGGGGCGCTAAAGCACGAAAGAGCTAACGTGTAACCAGACGTACTACAGACAGCGTTTGGGGAAAAAAGCATTTATTTAATTCAAGGCAGGTGAGCAAATACTTTTGGTTATATAGTGAATATCCCATGTTACAACATGGCCACCTACATAGGTACTTTTTTTTTTCTTTTTAAATTAAGTGGGTGCAGCTTATATTCAGGTTCACTCAATAGTCCTGGAATTATGGGTATGTAATATGACATAGAGGAGATAGTTATTGTGAATAAATCTATGTGTGTGTGTCCGTGTACTTCTGTGTGTGTCTTTACAACAGGCGTCAGTTAGTGTCCAGGTCATTCGTTGGTTGTATTAAAAATGTGGAAATCTCTCGCTCCAACTTTGACCTGCTGAGAGATGCGTACGGTGTCCGGAAGGGCTGTGTCGTAAAGGTAGGTCGCGCCATTTTCAGAGTGAGCCAGAGTGAGTCTCAATGACGCCGACTCGTGCTGATAAATGACTCTGTTTGCATCCCAGGCTGTACGGAGTGTATCGCATTTGAACGGTGGCTTCGTTCAGATTCCTGCTTTAGTAAGCGGTCTGGAGGCTGAGCTTCTCTTCTCCTTTACCTCCAACAACCACTCAGGAATCCTTCTTGCTGCACTCAGCTCAGATGGAAAGGTGAGCTCACCTGACATGTAATATAAATAAAAACATACATGCTAGCTGAAATATTTTCCCTGGAAAATAACAATCGGAATCGGTCATTTTTAGCCATAGCACAAACAAATAACGTGTATAAAAAGTAAGTAAAAAAAAAGAAATCTGCATAATAGGTACTAGCTTAAGACTGAAGTAAACCACATAGAATCAATTTGAAGTTATTTACAATAGCTTACTTTTTTCGGGCAACAAAAAGCTTAGTTTTTTTTTTCCTTCTCTTTCTATGCTCGCAGCACTTTCTGTCAATTCACCTGGTATCAGGCGTTATAGAGGCAGAGTTTGGCGAAGGGGGCGGAGCTACTCGCCGGGTGAAAGTCATGAAGCGTGACAGAGGCTCGTTCAGCGATGGCGAGACACACTCTGTGATTGTCAGCGTAAACCGGAAGTATGGCATCAGTCTGTTTTCCACCTGTCGTCTTTTCTTCCATTCCATTCTTTCCTTCTTCTGTCTCTCGTCTTTTTAACTCTTTATGACTCTCTCTCTCTGTCTGTCCTGTTCTCCTCAACTCTCTCTAATCTAATCTTAACATTTCTCATTCACCTTTTAAGTTCTGCCCCCCCTGACTCCCTCGTCTGTCTTTCAGGTCTCTGTACGCCCAGGTTGACGACAATCACATGAAGTCTGTTCCTGTTTCTTCGTTTGGATTCCATCGCTCATCCCTGGATTTATTCTTCATTGGTGGGCTGCCCTCAGGGATGGAGTCACAGCTACCAATCAGATTACAGGAATTTTCCAAGTCATTCAGAGGCTGCATTCAACACCTCGTCATAGATGGAGCGTAAGTGTCCTTTATGTGCCAGTTCCTTCGACCTAATTTAATCTAAAACACAAAGAGCAAGTTGTAGTTTTTTTTCCCACAAAATATTATATATTTTGTAGTTTGGGGGCTAGAATTGTGCAATGGTAGGTCAACCTAGACCATTAAAAGTACTGTTTAATGACAAATGTGCCCGAAATGAGTTTTCCAAATTACGAGTTAGCAATTTTTTTGCAAACTTTCCATCGTGATACAAGGAAACATTGAATTACAAGTGCTCAACCGAGCTCCATTTTTCACCTTTCTCTCTCTCTCTCTCTTTCTATGATCAAATCTCTCCCAGTCCTCTGTCTCACAGTTTCGCTCACTGTCCCTCACTTGGTTATTTTACCCATTTTTATACCAATAATATCAAATGTTTTCTTAATTATTATTATTTTATATTATCAATATATTTGCTTTATATATTATTATATATTCGATTTTTGCTGTTTAGATGGGGGGGGGGATTTTAATTCAATTAATTAATAGTATATTTCAGGAGGGCTCGAACAAAATAATAATAAAGTTTTTAGTTATTTTAGTTACGAGCAGATCGACATACGAGTGCTGTTGTGGAACAGATTAAATTCGTATATTGAAGCCCCACTGTACATTATTTGATGTAAAACTAACTTTAAAAAGTGGGTCAAGAATTTGATGGGAAACAACATGAGAATTACTGACTGTTAACTGATTTATATTATACTATATATATATATATATATATATATATACTTTATATATATATATATAAAGTCAGTGACATCAGTCCATTGCTCTGTACCTGTGACATAGGCAATAATAGCTAATCTAATTTATATATATATATAAAATTAGATTAGCTATATATATATATATATATATATATA